CCCTGTGACGAGGGTTTATCCTATGGACTCTGGCCACTAGGCCGTGCTGCCCTATAACGAGGGGCGTAAACCCTCACAGGGGCCTTTACAAAGTCCTCTCGGTGGCAGCAGCCCATCTACGTCAGGAGATCATCACAGAAGTCCCATACTTGGATGACTCGCTCCTCGGGGTCCATCAGTTGTAGAGGGCCAGTCAGCAACCTCAAAGGCACTAGCCCTATTTCATTCCCTGGGTCTTTGTATCCGTCTGAAGAAATCGACACCGACTCCAGTCTAGAGGATACACTGCATTGGAGCCAGACTCCTTAACTGCCAGAGCCTGCCTATCCAAAGAAAGGTTCTCCACCATGTCCAGGTTTAAACTGTACAAGGCAGTCTGCAAACAATTACAAGGGCCTCCTTACAGCTCCTAGGCCATGTGTTGACATCCATGTTTGTCGCATCTTATGCAAGACCGTGCCTCAGCTGCCGTCAGATGTGGACAGGCACAGTCTCTCCATGTGCTTAACCGTACCCCTGAATTCTGGGCTTTCAGCTGGTGGAGGGACCCATTGCAAGGCTGCAAGTAACCCCATTTTCACACTCTCCACCATCAAAAATCCTCACAATGGATTCCTCTCTTGGGTTGGGGGGCCACCTTCAGGGGCCACAACTCAGGGCAGGTCGTCCTCACAAGAGATTATGCTTCACATCAACACCCTTTGAACCGAGAGCCATCTGCTATGCTCACGAACACTTCCTTCACGACATACAGGGCCACTCTGTCAGGATAATGCTGGACAACAGGGCAGAAATGTGTCATATCAACCAACACAGCAAGAGCAAGTTCCCATTCCTTATGTGTAGAATTGCTAAAATTGGAACTGGTGCTTTTCCCATCAGATAGATAAGCCATCGAGAGTTCTACCAGGCCTCCAGAATACAATTGCAGACTCCCTAAGCAGGAACTTGCATCAGCACCATGAGTGAGAACTCAACAATTCTGTCTTCCAGAGCATTTACCAAAAGTGGGGTCTCCCCGGAGTGGACATCTTTGCTCCCCCAACCAGCTTTGCTCCAAGGGAGGACACGACTGCAATTAATTGGGAGATGCCCTGATAATACCGTGGAACCATATTCTGCTGTACATTTACTTGCCTCCATCTATAATTCTCAAGACCTTGATCAAACTGCGACAGGAAAGAGCAAGGCTTATTCTCATAGCATTGTCATGGCTGCGCCAGGTGTGGTTCTCGAACCTCCTTCACCTTTCAGTAACAACACCTCTCTGCCTTCCCCTCAAGAAGGGTGTCCTGTAAACCTACTACTTGCAAAACTTACCTGCAGAATCAGAAACATTTCCATCCCTGATGTTCTCTTAACTCTTGTCAAGCCTCAGAAGTTCTCTCCGAGATCCTAGACTATCTGTTGGACTTAGACACCAGTTTTGTCAGTGAGCTCAGTCAGATTCATCCTTCCACTTGGCCATTGAGGGCTTTTCAGTGTTTGCCCTTCCTATTACGACCAGGTTCCTTAAGGGCTTATACCTCTCGTTTCCCTCTGTATGGAACCTGCTACCCCATAGGACCTTAATTTCATACTCAGCACTTTAAGGAAACCAGTAACTATCTGTACTCTCCTGCACCTCATTCCTTATAGCTCTCACTTTAGCTAGACGAATGGGAGAACTTGGTGCACTCATGGCAGACACACCGTTGACTACTTTCTACAAGGATATGGTCACACTGTGTCCTATCCTCATTTTCTCCCTAAGGTTTCTTTGGAATACCATGTTAATCAGGAAATTAGTCTACCAGTGTTTATCCAAAGCCTTATGCCTCCAGACAGGAATCCAACCTGCACACGCTACGTCAGAAGGACTCTTGCCTTCTACTTACACAGACCCAAGGCCTTCAGTACCTCTCCCAGACTCTTTGTATCCTTTGTGGAAGGATGAAAGGACAGCCCATTTCAATGCAAAGATTATCAACGTGGGTCTCGGGTTGCATTTTAACATGCTACGAGACTGCCAGAATACAGCCCCCTCATAAAGTGACAGCACACTCCCTGGTAGCTCAGTCCACATTTCTAGCCTCTCTGAAAGATGTTGCAGTTGAGGAAATCTGCAGGATTGCAACTTGGTCCTCATCCATACATTTGCCAAGCATTGCGCTATTTTACCAGTTTTCAGAGCTGACATGTCACTTGGTGAGTCCTCCAGTCTGCCTTGGATTTGCCTCCTCACCACCCACCTCCACCTTGAGTTACTGTTTGGGGGTCTGCTATGATGGAGCACCCAGAAGGACACGTACTCGAAGAAGGAGAGATTACTTACATGCACGGGAATGAGTTCTCCAAGGTGTTTTATCCCAATGGGTGCTCCGCCTCCTGCCCTCCTTCCCCTCTGCTGTGGTGTGTCTGACTTGGTTGAGAAGGAACTGAGTGGCAGTGGGTCTGTACCTCCCTATGTGCCCTTCTCTGGGACCACGAGGAGCGGCTCTGCCAGGCCCGCACTGCTTTACAGTCTCCCGTCAAGAGTGTATAGGTGCGTGCACATCCTTCTGGAGAACACTCGTACCAGCAAAACATTTTGAATTCAAGGTACTGTACAGGTAACTAACCTCCTCGTCCTGCTGCAGGGGTAAACGTAGCCCAGCTCAGTCTCTGTTCCCTCTGACTTCGCTGTTGAAAGATCATGATCACCACCAAGGGTAGGGGGATGAGGGCCATATCTTACACCTGCCCTCTACCGCGCCTGTTCTCTTCACCTCTGCCATGTCCTGGGGGAGCCTGACGGTGGGACAGAGGCTCTCCCAGTGCCACCAGGGGACTGGTCCAGCAGTAGAGGTCCCAGGTAAGACTGTTCCTTGTGGAGGGAAAGTTGGAGATAAATGGAGAATGGTCCCATTCTCCATATTTCCATGGTACTTTGACTTCTCCAGACAGACTTGCTTGGAGCTAGGATGTCCTGTGTCCCTCCCCTGGACTGCCCCTTGGCATCGCCTGCTCTCAGTGTAACCATGTGCTGCTGTTTTTAACTCTGGTGCTTGTAAAATAACCTCCACCTTCATTGGGGATCGGGGGAAAGTCTAACTTGTTGCTAATTTGTGTTGCAGACAATGAGACACCCAACTGTCTGGAGGCAGACCTTATTTCCGAAACCAGCAGCATCGTGACAGCCAGTGACATGAGTGGCAAATACTCGCACAGTAACTCGAGGATATCTGCGTATGTCCCTGCCCTCAAACCAGATTGCAGCTGTTCATGCTGTACTGGGGGGACGAGAGGTGGAATGCACGGCTGGATCTAACTCCATCTGCACACTTACGCAGCGGTGGACTCTCGCTACTACGGGGCTATGGGTGCAGACGTGAGAGTGCACCAGCAGTTGTAGAACTTGGTTTAAAAAGAAGAAATGTGCTGCAGACAAAGTTGGTCCTGCAGGCTGGGTCAGAGTTTCTGCTGCAGTCCAGCCCCTTAGTGCCACTCCAGCGACGCAAGCCGCTGGATCTGTCCAGCTGCCATAGAAGCTGGTAGAGCTCCTGTACAGCAGCTGCTCAGCTACTCTAGGGAGCACCACAGCAAACACAGACCATCCTCAGGACCAGCTCCTTGGCAGCCACCCCCAGCAGGCAGTGGGGGCAGTGGGAAGCCAGCCCTCTGTGCCTTGGCTGGCAGCCCACCTGTCTTTGGCATGTTTTAGCAAGAGGTGTACGTACCGCGTTAAGATGCATTTGTTTGCAGGCTTTATGGGGGGGGGGGGCGGGACGGGTACCGGGGGGCGGCTGGGGGTTATGACTTCCTCTTGTAAGAGGAAAAAGAAATGCTGGTTGCTCTGTCCCGTTCTGTTGCCCATGGTGATACTGGACATTCCTTTCTTCTAGCCGATCCTCCAAGAACCGTCGCAAGGCAGAGCGCAAGCGGCACAGTCTGAAGGAAGGGAGCCCTCTAGAGGACCTGGCCCTTCTAGAGGCCTTGGGAGAAAATATCCGCACTACTGAGAACATGAAGGGTAAGGCCCCCTGACTGAGCCAAGCCAGCGTCCGGCTTGTGCGGCTGTCTGAGGCCAGATGCCACCTTCTGATCTTGAAGGTTGGGATGCAAAGAGTAGCTACTGCCCGAGCCTTGAGAGTGGGGGAGGGGGTCACTGAAGAGAGCAGCCTCTTCCCCAGAGACATCTTGGCAAGGAGCCAGGATCAGGACTACTGATTGGCTTTGCTAGTCCAAACCTCTGAGCTGTCACTGCTCTGATGAGTAAAAAATAGTCCCAGCCCCAGGTGTAAAGAATCAGAGTGAGATGAGCTGGGCTGTGCTAATGTGAAGAGAGCTCCCCTCATGCTGAGCCCACCTGGCACCAGGGGTAACGGCAGGAAAACAGTAGCTATGTTCTGCTGCTCCTTTCGCCCCGTCCCCAGTGCTAGAACAGCACCACGGCTTGCTTAGTGAACCTGGTTGATTGCTGTGATGGAGCTTGCTCTGATCTCTTCCTTGCAGGTGAAGTGCACAGCTTATTAAAGGGGCTTGTGCTCTTTGGCTACGATGAGCTGGCCAGGGAGCTGCAGCAGGCCCTGGAAGAGGCTTTGCAGTTGATAGAGAGGTCACTCCCGGAAATCTGGACCAGAGACCTGCAGCAGAATCCTGCTAACCCAGTAGGTGCTTGCTCCCTGATGGCTGTGACCTGAGTCGCTGTTTGCAACTTACGTAGTTGTGGTGCTTTGGTATCGTTTATAGAGACAAACCTTGGAGTCTTTAACTCAGACAAACTCTGACTGGAGTCGGTGGCAGTGTAGGCCTCCAGATCTGCCCCTTTTGCAGTATGTCAGATAAACCTTTTAGACAGTGTATTTCTAGAGGGGTGTTGCATCTTCCCAGTGCTCAGACCCTTGGCTGCCAGCCAGCATGTGCACTGCCTGCTATCTCCGGTGCTGGTTAGGAGTGATCCGACTGTCTCGATAGAGCTAGGGGACTTCGATGGCTTGTGTGTTCATTCCATATTCAATGCACTGACTTCATATTAAAACTTTGTGTTAAGTGAAGCAATTTGCAGAGTTCAGTGCAATATACTCTTTTTTTATGTTTATAATTGAGCAAAGAAATCTTTATAATGGTTGAACTGTTAACATCCTGAATTAACCGCTAACATGTCTTACCTCCACTGCACTTCAAATATTAACGTTACTGTAGAAGGGCTCGGCCGAGGCTCGTCCCTCCGCGGGGCTGTGGGGTGTCCCACCGCCGCGCAATAGTTCGCTATGGGCCCAGGTCCTCGGTCAGGGCGGGACAGCAAACACAGTCAGGAGCTCAGGCTTTTTAGCGTCTGGTGCGAGGGGGAGACGGCCACCCGTGAGTGGGGTGGCAGGGGGGACGCAGGCCCACCCACTCCACTGCATCCCCGCCCGGGACCCTAGCAGCAGCAGAAGACTCGCTGCTGTGTCAGTGGGGATCCTGACCGCAACACACTGACATTGGTTCTGGCAGTGCTGCGGCCAGACCAGGGTCGGCTGCCCCTGGGCTACTTCCGGACTCCCCCTCGTACGGTACCTGGGTTAGGGCGGTGTCCTCGGAGGTCTCCAGCACCATCGGTTCCTCGGGGTAGCTGGCGAGAGGCAGGCTTGGCTGGCCCGGCCAGTCCTTGGGTCGGCCGCAGCCTGCCGGCGTTTCCCAACCCGGAGCTAGGCCACAGGCATCTGGCCTCTCCGGGGGCTGGCTTTCAAGTGAGCTCTGCAGTTGGGCTTTTCTACTTCCTGTCCTGCGCCGTGACCTCTGGGGGGCGGGCGCAGGATCCACTGGCTCCGCCCACGTTGGTGCTAGGGGAGGCTTGTCCTTCAGCGGGGCTGTGGGGTATCCCACCGCCTCGCTACAGTTACCAATACAATCACTTTAGTCTCCGTAGTGCCCTTGCTCTTGCACAATATATACATGCCCCATGATGAATGGGACAGAAAGAGGAGGAGATGGAGAATTAAATCAGACTTTCTACAGTATTGGCAGCCCCACGTGGTCAATATCATGACAAGCTTAAAAAATCACAAAACTCTTTAAAAATATGAAATTTTTTTCCATGCTTTCTGGTTTCCCAGCCTTTAGGGTTAACTCAGGTCACATTTTGAAACTTTTCTCCCTAAGCACCAGGGCTAGAAACTTATTTTTAATGCAAGTTGAGGTTCTCCTGCAGTCACCTGCCTCTAAGAGCTGGGTCTTTAAGACAGACACACATATCACAAGACTTGTGATTAAAATCTCAAGAATTAGCAACACTGCCACAGCAAAGGGGGCTGGCACGGGGGTGTGGAAAAGATCTCACGCATGGTCCTGAAGTCCAGGTGCTCCAAAGATGCCATTCCTGCCAGCCCCTACTGCTGTCTTTGCACAGGGCTTCAGTAGGCTCTTTCAATGTTAACCACCAGCTCTTTCTGTCAGTGATCTGTGTGGCTCCCAGGGTGCTCTGTCTCCTCTAGTGGTGCCCTCAGATTGCAGCAGTGTCGTGCAGCTTTACCTCCCTGCACTAGCCTCTATGCAACAGTCCCATCACGCAGTTTGTCACAGAGCCCTGCACTGGTTCTGAATCTGATAGCAACTGTCTGGATACGTGCTATTAGCATCATCTGCCGAAAATGCCAAGCATTGTCATGGGGGGAGGAGCAGGAGCGCAGATCTCCCTTAGAATCCAATGGCAATATCAAGCAAGCTCCCATCCTGCAAAGGGAGCACTAACTACTTCAGTGGCAACAGGCAGAACTGCCAGTTGGGTGGAGCTTGGGGAGCTTGGTTTTGGAATCTTCTACTTCATTGTTATAAGGACTTGAATATTGCTGATGTGCCATTATTGCCTATTCTACAGGTCCTGGGCCCCAATTCAACTGCAAATAGCATTATGGCCGCCTATCAACAGCAAAGAATTGCAGCTCCTCCAGTACAAGGTTAGTTGAAGCATACGGCATACTAATCATAGGTGCAGGATATCTCCAATGGTAACGTCACTAGGGCTAGCAATGTTACAGAGATATGGCCTGGTGATGCAGTTTGGAGATTGATTTGGTAGGTCAGTCGTGTTTCTGATGTTCCCTCTTGGCATTAAACAGATGTGTCTCTTGTAAGGGTTACGCTTCTCCCTTTATGAATTCCTGTGGCAATGTTGTGGTGCTAGGAGTGCATGGCACTTACACCTGACTAGACAGACCATGTTCCTGCTTCACAGGAGTTGGAAATCTAAAGAGAAGGGAGATTATTTCTGTGGTCTGACTTAAATCATAAATCATTTATACCTGCTCTTTTTCACTAATAAAAACTCACCTGGTAGAGTTCCCCCCACAACCTGTCTAATGTTGTTTTAAGATGAAATGCAACCAAGTTAAAGAAACCCAAAAGTAGCTTGTGAAATGCTGAAAAAAGAAGACACTGCCCATGCACTCCTGGGTGAATGTTTACCAGTGTTGGCCGTTGCTGGGTCAGGACCTTGAGAAATCAGAACTATAGGCTTCCTGAGCACAGCTGGGTGATGTTTTTTTGACACACAAGATTTTTAGTCAAAAAATGGTGCCCCAAAGCTATCTGTAAATTTGGGCTGATGAATAATCGTTTTGGCCAAGAAAAAACACAATTTTAAAAAAAAAAGTCTAAATGTTTTGTGTCAAATTCAAATGTGACCCGTTTAAAAAAGAATGGAAAAACACCCATAAGTGATCAAAACAAAAAGGTTGGGGGGGGGAATTATTTTTAGTCATCTAAAATGTTTTGGTTGACTTGAAACAAACTAACTGAAACACCCCAACCCCCCAAATCTAGTTTCAAATTGACCCAAAACATTTCAGTCGATTGAAAAAAAATCTGAGTCTTTCATTTGATGGGGGGGGAAGAGAGAGAGAATGAAAAAGTGGGTTTGGTGTCATATTAAACTGGATTTTTTTTTATTTGATCCCTGCACCAAAAAATCCATTATTCGCTCAACTTTATTCCTGAGCCTTCTGCTGCCAGGGGAGATCTCTACTAGAATAAGCATTGGCTCAAAAGAACCCAGCCCATTCCACCGCATCATTCTGCTCCTTCAGAACATTGTCCAAATGATCATCAGTGCTATGGAAGGTGTTAGATGATGATCAGTGGAGTCCTCTACCTATAGGGCAGACATAGCACCCCCTCCATGCTGCGCACCCCTCTTCTGGAAGGGCTTCAGGTGAGAGGATAGCTGTGTCTTCATGCCAACTAGCTGCATGACATCCTCACTGGAGACGTCCAACAAGAAGCTGGTTGTGTTAACGTGTGCTATGATGTGTTGCTTCTCCACTGAGACCTTATCTACCACAGCTAGAGTAATAGGCCTGTAAAGACCACTAGCCAGGACCCCTTTCATCATTACTCGCACGGAAAGGCTGTGTAATGCTTTTCCTACTCCTCTGCGCTAACTATTGGGTGTTAGCATTGCAGAACCCACACAATGGAGGAGGGTGAGCTGGGTTCTTCCATCCTCCCACTACTGGTTACACCTGTATTAACCTGTTGCAGTGTTGGTTTGCACTGGGGTCCTGAAGAATTTGCTTTGGCCTGAAGAGCATGTATTGCTAGCGAGATCTACAAGAAGGAAAGAATCCAACTTGACTAGGTCCCACATTGGGTTTGCAGACTTACTGTCAACAGAAATGTTTTCCTTGTGTAAGTGGACACATTTGAGGTGGAATAATTGAGCTGGTGAACTTAGAACTCCACAATGCCATGTTTGGATTTCCTCTTCAGAGCAACAGTGCACGTTCAAGAGGAAAATGAAAAACTAAAATGTCAGGGGCAGGGATATTTTAAGGGCTTTGTTAGAAAGCATTTCTTTGCCTTGCAACAAAGAGGGTTTACTGGTGGTGATGGTTGTCGCACTATCCGGAGCTGTTCATGACTGTGTGTGCCTATTCAGGGCAGACTGTCAAAAGCAGGGCAGACACCCCAAACTGGTGGTATGTTCTAGAAGTAGATTTCACCAACCCAGTAACAAATGTGAACTCCTGCAGCACTACAGTAGTCTTACCATGGAGTCACAGAGGGTCCTCTTGGGCACTCCAGTCTATCTTGCCGCCCAGGCAAGCTGGACTAAAGTGATAAATGGTCACTTACACCAAGAATCACAAAAGATTCAGATTGCTCCCAGTCCCAAGAGACCAGTCACTTACCCCCAGGTCAGTTTGTATTTCACACCAAGGACAACGTTCATAGCCAACTGTATAGAAAACTAAGGGTTTATTAACTAGGAAAAAGAAATGAGTTATTTACAGGTTAAAGAAGGCAACATATATACACAAATGAGTTAGACTGTGGTTCCAAAAGGTGACAAGTTGCAGTAATCGGTCAGCACTGATTGTCTTTTAGGGCTAATGCAGGTTGAGCTTGGAGATCTCTGCTTTTGTTTCCTAGCTCCAGCCCTGTGACAGTCTAAACAGCAAGAGATGAAGAATTTTCATGTCAGCTATCTTTTTTTCCTCCCTTCCAGAATTCAAGATGATGGGATGAGTTTTCTTGCACATAGCACCTTCATGGGTGTAAGAGGGCCATCAGCCCAGTCTTTGTTTCACAGGAACCCATTATCTTGGTGGTAGTCCTTGAGGGGTGGGGGAGCCACTCCTCCTACCTCAGTTCACAAGTTCAGAGCAGGCATTTTTACAGTTATAAAGCAAAACGTACATATTACCTTATAGCATGGGATACAAGCATTACAAGTTGCATGCAGCAACTTACAAGCATTTTATAGTCCAAACACATCCTTACAAGTCTTGAACAATACTAACATGTGAGCTGGTCTGGTTTCCAGCTAAATTTCAGCGTCACAATGGTAGCTGTAGAAATGCTTTTGCTTGGGGTGAAATCTGGCAAACCCACCTCAGTCCCAAAAGAGTTAATTGGCCAAGTTGTAAATTGATACATGTGTCACGTGCCCCTGGAGGCCCTCTAACTGGAGTGGTCCTGCTGAGCCCCACTTACACATACTTCCCTTCAATCCCCTTAGGCCAGTCTCCTAAAAGAGAAACTCTCATCTGTCAGCAACCATTGATGGGCAGCGAAAGAGGAGTCATGGAGGCTTTCCAGTGTTCAGCTCCTAAGGGAACTTCAGATAACCTTCTCTTCTCTTGCTTTTCAGATGCAGAACTTCTTATTCCTCCAAAACTCAATAAAAACATCCAGTGGAAACTGAATCTCTTACAGTAACCTGAGGCCAAGAAATCCTGCTGGACACTCAAGTGTAGTTTATTGTAAGCTCATTATGTCCCCTTCATTTTGTTCTCTCTCTCTCTCTCACACACACACACACTCACTCACTCACTCTCACTTTAAAGAACAAGAGAGGTAGTCCCCATCGAGAAGCCCTTACTGGTGCTGTCTGAGTTGGACATCTGTCAACTCTCTTCCTCTGTCCTTTGGCAGCTCTGGTGCATTGTCCCTAAGACAGTTTCCAAGCCAGCCTTCCTGGCTGCAGTACATCACTGCTGCCATGACATTTCAGTCATTTTAAATAGCCCGGTTTTACCCTTTGGATCCTGTATCCCTAATAGTCCAGCTGATGCATTTTTTAAGAATGTTAAACAGAGCACCAGTCTCCCTGCTGCCCTGAGCTTTGTTTTACTGTTTAAAGTTGGATGGCTGTTACAAGACATTAGCCAAATTCTGTCTTGTTACACCAGAGTCAATCTCAGGTCACACCACTGACTGCAATAGAGCTACTGTACTCTACGAAGCTAGGTCCTCAGCGCATCTTTGCCAGTTTACACCAGCAGCAAATATGGCCCTAGGCTTACACTGCTGTACATTAGAGCAGACTATGGCACATTGTGCTGTGGCAGAGTGATTATTGTACACAACTTCTCCTCTTACCAAAACATAGCAGAATAAAGATGATATTGCTTAAACTGTATCTCCAAACTGCCCTGAGTCTGTTTGTTGGACAAATGTTTTGCATGAGCACTTCAAATCAGACTGTCTCCAGCCTCCTGGATACAGGAATGAGCTGTCACATGGCTGCGGTCTATGAATGTTCTCCCCTGGCATCCTGGGGAAAGGGTTGGCGCACACAAGCCATCTCCAGGTACAAGTGATGTGCTAAAAGAGGGACGGACTTACCATTTTTATCAGGCTGACAGAAAAAATCGACAGCTAACAAATCTCCTGTACACTTCACACACTTGGCTAGCAGGACTCCACAGTCTGAGGGTGACAGATATTGCAATTGCATGTAGGTTATGAATGGTTTATGGACTACTGGGCCAGAGATTGTGTGCCACTCCCCAGGGAAGGGTTGCCACAGCTCTGCAAGGCTCTACAAATGGGAGGGTGATCTTTGTGACTCACTCAAGCTGTAAACAGCCCCCTCCCCCCTCAAGCCATACCACCCCCCGGTAACTGAGACAGCTTGCAGCTACTGGGTTTTCCTGAGACCAGCAGACAAAAAAAGGGGCTTTTGGTGTAAAAGGGCTGCATCTAAACTGCCACAGGGCCTTCTTTGTAATCCAGCAAATGGACAAGACCTTCTGTCCAAGGGGCCTCAACCCTCGTGGAAGGGTTGGAAAGACTTCAGTGTACTAGGGCCCTATAGTGTGTGTTTAAATCCAGCTATTGTTTTTTATGATGTTTCAGCTGTAATTGTAAATGTGCTTGCTCTGAAGGAGCTGTGTGGTGACTTGTAAGTGCTGGCTATACCCTGTTCATAGGCCTCAAAGAAAGCAATGCCGGGGTGCAGGCCCGTAGGCAGACTGGCTTGTTGAGGATATCACAACATAAAACAGGGGCTGTGCACCCTTAACCCCTCATTCAAAAGGAGTAGGACAAAGGTCCCTGCCCAGAGCCAGGTGATTGCTGGAGACCTGGTTAGCACACCTAGAGTGGACCATGGAGCTACATGTTCAGTTAATCTGAAACTCTAGTCTACCAGCCCGGACCCATTTGGGGCACTAAGGGGTAACCTATTAGTCAGAAAAATTCCATTGTGACCATAGCTGGTGGTCAGCAGCAGACTCACTGTAGATGCTGGAAGTGGTGCTGTTTTTCTATATCACTTAATCAGGAGTTTAACCTTTTTTCATTTGCAGATCTATAAAAAATTTCAAGTAGAGTTGGGGAGCCCTTTGAAAATCTTAGTTTTGTTTAATATCTTCATTAATGATCTGGAGGATGGTGTGGACTGCACTCTCAGCAAGTTTGCAGATGACACTAAACTGGGAGGCGTGGTAGATACACTAGAGGGTAGGGATCGGATACAGAGGGACCTAGACAAATTAGAGGATTGGGCCAAAAAAAACCTGATGAGGTTCAACAAGGACAAGTGCAGAGTCCTGCACTTAGGACAGAAGAATCCCATGCACTGCTACAGACTAGGGACCGAATGGCTGGGTAGCAGTTCTGCAGTAAAGGACCTAGGGATTACAGTGGACGAGAAGCTGGATATGCGTCAACAGTGTGCTCTTGTTGCCAAGAAGGCTAATGGCATTTTGGGCTGTATAAGTAGGGGCATTGCCAGCAGATCGAGGAACGTGATCGTTCCCCTTTATTCGACATTGGTGAGGCCTCATCTGGAGTACTGTGTCCAGTTTTGGGCCCCAGACTATAAGAAGGATGTGGAAAAATTGGAAAGAGTCCAGCGGAGGGCAACAAAAATGATCAGGGGTCTGGAGCACATGACTTATGAGGAGAGGCTGAGGGAACTGGGATTGTTTAGTCTCCAGAAGAGAAGAATGAGGGGGGATTTGATAGCTGCTTTCAACTACCTGAGGGGGGGTTCCAAAGAGGATGGAACTCAGCTGTTCTCAGTGGTGGCAGATGACAGAACAAGGAGCAATGGTCTCAAGTTGCAGTGGGGGAGGTCTAGGTTGGATATTAGGAAAAACTTTTTCACTAGGAGGGTGGTGAAGCACTGGAATGTGTTACCTAGGGAGGTGGTGGAGTCCCCTTCTTTGGAGGTTTTTAAGGCCCGGCTTGACAAAGCCCTGGCTGGGATGATTTAGTTGGGAATTGGTCCTGCTTTGAGCAGGAGTTGGACTAGATGTCCTCCTGAGGTCCCTTCCAACCCTGATATTCTATGATTCGAGTCTGTGGCCCCCCCCCCCGTGTCCCTGGACCACAGGCTGAAAACCACTGCAATAGACAGTGGGTCTGTACCAGCTGCTATATCCCTTTTACACTGGTAAATCCTTTTGTCAAATAGGCTACAGTGAAAATTCTTATGAAACAGATGAGAGAAAAAGCTGTTCATGTGCAACACAGAATGCTATGAGCATTTAATACAGCCACAGTGGAACACAGATCCAAACTTCATTTTAGCAGCTCGGTTTGTTACCAGTATCTGAGAAAGAAACAGAGGTTCTTAGACATCTACAGTCCCCTCAGGGTGGCAGTATTGATTCTAAGCTCAATCTTGTCCACTTTGTACTCAGAAACATTTCCTGTAGATGAAGAAAGGACCCCGTTCTTCATATTCTCTTCTGTAAACCCAGAGCTGCTGAAAGGCATTGAGTGATGCCAAAATTGACCCTCCAGTCCAGACAGAAAACTTTCTGTCAGGGGATGCTGCTGCAATGGGGTCATCATTGGGGCACATCTTGGTCAGGTCTCTCTGGAAACGGTCAGGGAAACCCTTCAGCATGGTACAGCCTCCACACAGCAAGATATTGCCCATCAGCTTCTTCTTGAGATCAGCATCACATTTACTGAGGCAGGTCATTGTCAGCAATGGAAGTGCTGGCTGCTGTGATCCTATCAAGGATGGTTTGAAGAGCATTTCAGCACACAGGAATCTCTCTTTGCCAATGGGAATTAGATGCCCATCTGGAAGTTCATAATCAACCTGCTGTTTCCGGAGAGGCAAACTCATGTCATGCTGAAGGTCCAGAGACGTATAGCAACACTTTTCCTTAATGTCCTCTATCATACTTAGTTGTTCCCCAGTAAATGTTTTCCCAGCCTCATTTAATAACTTCATGAGGTAATGGGTGAGGTCTGATCCAGCATAGTCTACTCGTCCAGTAATGCTTGGCATAGTATAACCTTCATAGATAGGGACCACATATGAAACACCATGGCCACTTTCTACCACAAGAGCGGAGGTCTTTCCATATGAATACATAGATAATCTGGACTGGTAGGCGATATGCATGGCAGGAGTGCAGAACGTTTCAAACAGCATCTCGGCATATTTCTCCCTGTTGGTGGTAGGACTCAGTGGAGGGTCTGATACCAGGACAGCATGCTCCTCTGGCTGAATCTTCATCTCTTTGTGGAAAATGTATTCCCAAATGTCTTGGACACAATCCCAATCGACCACTATGCCATGTCTCAAGGGATTGACCAGTTTTAGGGGTATTTTCACATCCTGAAGTTCTTTTCCAACAAAGGTTTCTTTGCGATTGTCCCCCGTTTTAGCAGTCTGCTGGAAATGCTTGCCCACTGTAGATGAAATAACATGGGAGGGACGAGGCTCTCCAGCAAATCCACACTTACAGTAACCTGTGCCAATGTCTATGATCACTGCTCTAGTCTCCTTCACAATCTTGGGGCTTCTCTGAGTTGATGAAGCGCTATCCTCTTTAGGCTTTTTACTGCCCCTAACTAGTACCGCCCGTTTTGCAGGACCTTCCTGGATTGTTGCTACTGCTACAGAACTGGTGCTTCCTTCGACTGACATTTCCTTTTTCTTTTGTCATAGATGTTGATTCCCTTTGACTGTGCTGGCAGAAGCCATGGCAAGCCGAGAAATACCAGGGGTAATTTTGGAACTTTCATGCCACTGACATCACTGATTGTGACATAGAATCATAGAATCATAGAATATCAGGGTTGGAAGGGACCTCAGGAGGTCATCTAGTCCAACCCCCCGCTCAAAGCAGGACCAATTCCCAACTAAATCATCCCAGCCAGGGCTTTGTCAAGCTGGGCCTTAAAAACCTCCAAAGAAGGAGAATTCACCACCTCCCTAGGTAACCCATTCCAGTGCTTCACCACCCTCCTAATGAAAAAGTTTTTCCTAATATCCAACCTAGACCTCCCCCACTGCAACTTGAGACCATCAGCTGTCTGCTGCCCTTTGGGGGCTACAGCTTAGTACAGGAGTAGGCAACCTGCAGCACGCAAGCTGATTTTCAGTGGCACTCACACTGCCCAGGTCCTGGCCACAGGTCCGAGGGGCTCTGCATTTTAATTTAATTTTAAATGAAGCTTCTTAAACATTTTAAAAACCTTATTTACTTTACATACAATAGTTTAGTTATATATTATAGACTTATAGAAAGAGACCTTCTAAAAATGTATTACCGGCACGTGAAACCTTAACTTAGAAGGAATAAATGAAGACTTGGCACCCCACTTCTGAAAGGCTGCCAATCCCTGGCTTAGTATTTCAGGACTTTTTTGGGAAATACACTGCTTGTTTAGCATACCAGAGAGCTACTGGGGTCTGGCTGCAGCTGTTTCTACCACCATATATCCTAAAGCGGCTCTGAGTAGGAGTAGTAGGTGACAAGGGAGCTGGTCTATGCCAACATGCCCCCCTGCTGCTACTGGCTGTGGAGCGATGATGGGTGCAGATACAGCAAGTAGGCATGTCTGCAATGCACATAAAACAGGGATTGTTCTAGGACATGTCTAGCACTACATTTTTTTCCAAGGAAACAAATTACTTCCTCCCCAGCCGCCACCTGAGAAGGTCTAGATCTTTTTAAAGTCATTTTTAAGTGTTTCACTAACAACTATTCCTTTTGGGCCTGATTTGTTTAATATTCAACAAGTTTCCATCTCTCAAACTGTGTGATTATGGTAATTTAAAAAACAAACCAACAATGGTGAGAGACAGCCCATGTGTTGCTGGACCCTGTCACATTGATGGGGCATGGCTGATTTGCTTAAGAACATGCTGAAATACAGAAAGTC